ACTTCCTTCCAGCGGCCCTGCCATTCTCCTCTCTCCCCTCCTCTCCAGGCGCGGCTCAGGCCGGCATGGCCCAGCCCCGTGAAGTCACCAGCTCGTGGCTCCCTGGTGTCTGGTGTGGCTGCCAGGCTTCGCCTCTGTTCACTCACTGGGCCTATTCACTGGCCCTGGCTGCAGCCCCAGGAGACGCAGGGGCGTTGTTCAGTCTCGGAGGTGATGGCAGGGCGAACAAAGTCCTCGAGGGCTGGGGGAGTTCGGGAGCGCCTTCCCAGAAGAGCAGGACGGGGGAGCCTGTCGGGGCTTCTCGGTTATGTCACCACAGCCCTGTCCCGTCTGGGCCCCTTTGAAAGCCGCCTCAACTGGGGTCCGATCCGCTTCCGTCTCGAGTCGAGCCCTTCCCGGTGTTTCCCTGGGGCCTCCCCACCCCTCCAGCCTCCTCCCTGAGCTCCCCCTGCTCTGGGCTGTGGGCACCTGACTCTCAGCGCTCACCGCGTGGTACTGTTGCCATGTGTTGGGGTTTGGGGCCTGGCCCATTTCTTCCAACCAGGCTGGAAGGTGGGACTCATCCGCTGCACCTTGACCTGGCCCAGAGCCGCTGGCCATTCAGACACAGGCTTCTCCTGGAAGTCCGAGCTTGGCAGTTTATCCTATGATTTAGAAAATAAATCGGTCTGTTTGATGGTAATGGAGGATTGTGTCAGCATCACCCCATTTTCCTCTTTATGAATGGTGTCACCAATATTCAAAAAAGGGGGAAAAAAGTTAGGAGTATCATTCTTACCCACCCTCTTCCTTCCTTCCATTAGACAGTTTTCCCCTCACTGGTGAAAGTGAGTGAAAGTGTTAGCTGTTCAGTGGTGTCCGACTCTTTGCGTCCCCATGGACTGTAGCCCGCCAGGCTCCTCTGTCCATGGGATTCTCCAGGCAAGGATACTGGAGTGGGTTGCCATTTCCTCCTCCAGAGGATCTTCCTGACCCAGGGATGGAAACCAGGTCTCCTGCATTATAGGCGGATCCTCTACCGTCTGAGCCACCAGGGAAAGGGGCATAAATGTGATCAGAAGACCCCTCTCTGTTGAAATTCTCTCTGCTCTTTCTGGTTGGCACGGAAGAGAAAACCTCTTTGAAGGCGCCCATCCCCACCCCACAAGGCCGCCCCGCTCCCCTCCGACAGCAACCCCACCTTCCCTCCAGGCACTCAAGCTTCCCAAGCTCCCCCTCCTCTTAGCCTCTGAAACCCTACTTTCTGGAAGGGTGATTCATGCCCCCAAAGTGTGAATCTAAGTCTTTGTGTTCTGTCTCTGGGTGATTTCCCAGTGTCATTGTAGCAAAATGGGACCTCTGCCATTCACTCACACCAGTGAGTGATTTCTCTAGTCCCCAGTTGCTTCACCTGGGAAGTAGGGTCGTAAACCCGCCCCCTCTCTCTTGGGGGTGGGGGGCAAAGGAAGCAAGAGTGGACCCCAGCACTTTGTGACCGGTAAGATGGTACTGTAAGACTCTACCCTGAGTGGTGTAGCAGCTTGCAGTGCAGAGAAGGGGCATGTTTTGGGTTCTAGCAGAGTTCTTGCGCTGTGCCCTAAGCTACACACATTCCTAACCCGCACATCATGTTACCTGTCTCCTCCGCCGAGACTCCCGCTCCCGGCTCTGAAGTCCAGGTATCATCCTGTATCCCCCCAGGACTCACCTCCTCTGGGAAGGGAGGAGAGCCCTCAGGAAGGCCAGGTGGAAGGTGGACGATGAACCTCTTGACGTTAGAAAGAGTTCCATGAGAGGAGCTTTCTTGAGGGCCATGAGTTCCCTTCAGTTCCCCTGTTTCCACCTCCGGATGGCAAGTCCGCCATCTTCTCCTCAGCGTTGGCGGCTCCGCACGGCTGTGTCGAGGGCGCGTCCTCTGAATGTCCCTCTTGTCCTCCGTGGGGACAAGCATGGGACCCACTCATCCCGTGCTCACGTGGGACGAGCCCCAGGGGACACAGAAGCCACCATCTAGGCTTTAAGGAGCGCCTTCTAACTCCTTACACTTGAGAAGGGACCACACTATCTCAAAGAACTAGCCAGGAGTTCCACCAGCCCTGAAAGTCCCCCTGCAGTGCGGGGGGAGGCTTATCCTGAGGACTGGATAAGCCCAGCCCAGTCTAAGCGGGACAGCATCTCAGGGAGAGAAGGGGAAGTGGGGGGCGTTGGCGAAGCCTGGAGGGAGCGGCCCTGCCCTCCATCCTTTCCGTGGAGACCCCCCGTCAGTTCTCCAGCACACACCCCAGAGTGCAGAGAACACCCCAGAGAGACACAGGAAGGGTCTTGTGTCCAGGGGCCCGGGCCAGAGCAGGGAGCAGGGACCGTGACACTTCTCAATGGACCACCGTGGCCCTGGGAGCCGGTCCGTTCCAGGCCACGTCGCCGCAGCCAGTGAAGGACACGCCACCACCCCTGGGGCCCGAGGGCGTCCACACACAGGACAGCACAGGTGCTTCCTTCTCCCGGTCGGTCCACCTGGACCCTCTCTCCTCCCGGACTGTGGGTGTCATCCACTGTCCGCCCCCTCCTCTTTCCCTGGAGCTCCTCCCTGGTCAGCCTGGGGACTGGGATCTCCTCTTGGCGTGGTGGCTCCTGGGACATGGGGGTCCCTGGAAAGTGACCTGGTTACTCCCAGTGCTCCCGTCTAGGAAGTGTGGGAGGGAAGGTTCCAGCCCGGCTTGAGCCTTGGCCCTGCCCCCTCTTGTCTCCCTGCCTGTTGGGTGAGGACACCAACCACGCACCTGCCCCCCGCCCAGACCAGCGCGGGCAGATGATGAATGGGGGCGGGAGGAGCAGCTTACACATGCTTCCCAGGTGGCCCGCCTGCCGGTGCAGGAGACACGATTCAATCCCTGGGTTGGGAAGATCCCCTGGAGGAGGAAATGGCAATCTCCTCTCCTCTTCTTGCCTGGAGAATCCTATGGACAGAGGAGCCTGGCGGGCTGCGGTCCACAGGGTCACAGAGCTGGACATGACTAAACAACTCAGCACGCCCGAGAAGCTCACCTGCTTTCACCCGTTTTGGTTTGGCGTGAAGCAGCCTGTTGTTCACCGGTAGGCCAGGCGAGATGGGTTGAGGCTCATAGGGCCGCTGAGTCAGGAGTGGGGGGTGGGAGGAATCGGGAGGTGGTCTGGGGGGTGAGGACGGAAGCAGAAGGAACACAGGTGCCCAGGGCTGGCGAGTGGAAGAGTCTGGACGGGGCACAGAGCAGCACAGGGTAGGCTCGTGGCTTGTAGGCCGATCAGTCTTTGTCAAGGTCAGAGGGAGCAAGAGGGTGGCCCCTGGACCATGTTTACTGACGTCTTTGGCTTGCATGCCTGTTGTATTTTTGAATAATTTAAAAATTATATTCAGTTACCTATAAATGTGAGAGACTGGACCCAAATCCAGAGTTCCCCTCTCTTGGAAACAAATCAATATCAGGCAGCATTATTGTATTGTTTCCTAGAGCTTCCATAACAAAGTAGCCCAAACTGGGTGGTGTAAATCCACAGGAGTTTATTCTCTCGTAATTCCAGAGGCTGGAAGTCTGAACCAACGTGTCAGCAGGACCACACCGGCTCTGAGACTCTGAATAGCCTCCCACCTTGCTGCCTCTAGCTTCCTTTTTCCTTTTTCCAGTTTTATTGAGAAATAATTGATGTGCATCACTGTATATGTTTAAGGCATACAGCATGATACTTTGAATTTCTCATATTGTGAAATGATGATCACAGTGGGTGAGCTAACATCCCCCATCTCTACAGAAACAAGAAAAAGAAATGAAAAAGGAGAAGAACTTTCTCCTTGTGATGAAAGAGCTCTTAGGAGTTCTCCTAACTTTCCTGCGTGTCATACAGCAGTGTTAACTACGGTCATCATTTTGTACATTGCATCCCTGGTAGTTAGTTATCTGATCACTGGAAATTTGGACCTTTTGACCACTCTCCTCCAGTCTTCTAGCTTCTGATGGTTGCTGGCAGCGCTTGTCATTCCTTGGCTCATAGAGACATCACCTCAGTGTCTGCCTCCGTCATCACGTGGCCTTCTCCTCTGCGTGTGTTTGTGTCTTCTCCCCTTATAAGGGCGCTACACATGGGGTTAAGAGTCCAGCCTGTTTCAGTATAATCTCAGCTCGATTCTGTCTACAAAGATCTATTTCCAAATAAGGTCACATTCATAGGTACTGGGGGTTCGGATTTAACGTATCTGTTTGGGGGACTCCGTTCAGTCATAACTATGATCTTACAGTGTGATCAGACAGGTGTGAGTGACAATCGCCTGCCTCAGACAGGCCTCCAGGATTGCACAAATCCTCTGGTCGTGGACACCCTCTCACTCTGGGCAGATTCGTGTCCGGGTCTCCTGCCAGTTCTTTGTCCCCTGCGTCCCACCCACTTCTTCCTGGTTCCAGTCCTATCCAAGTCTTCACTCTGCAAGACCTCTCCTTCCCAAAGCCACCCCCGCGACCACCTTCACAGTGATTCTAGCTCTTTGCACAGCCACAGTGGCGGTTTTCACATCACACGTTTTGACTATAACAGCGAGTCTGGTCTGGCCCTTGGTGTAGTTATGTGACTTCTGACCTTCATCTCTGCTGAACATGAGCTTCCTTATGTCTTATCCCAAGGACTACGGGCTCCACTCCACATGCTCTCGGCACCATGCTCTGTAGGGGAGGGACGGGAGATCCCATAGTCTTGGACTAAACTTGAAAATCACGTCCGGTAAGTGTGTATAAGTATTATCACCCGACAACTTCTGAACTGTCCCTGTCACGGCAAGGAGGACTCTGCCCACGACTCAGGTTGGGTGGGGTGGGGATTTCTGGACACAACCAATTCTAAGGGATTAGAAGGATTGTACTCAAGCTTGTCCCCAACATTCAGAATTGAATCGTTTAGATTCTTGCTGTGTGAGACTCTCAGCACTTGCAGCTGGGAGCCCTTTCCTCCATGTCAGCAAATCGCTCATGCCCTTTGTGGTTCCTCTTCTGCCCCAGGCCTCTCTTCCTCTCCGTCGACACCCACCCAAGTGGCCAAGCAGCATACGTTCCCTCTCGAGTCCTACAAGCACGAGCCTGAGCGACTGGAAAATCGCATCTATGCCTCCTCTTCGCCTCTGGACACAGGCCAGAGGTTCAGCCCGTCCTCCTTCCAGAGTACAGCCAGGCCTCCATCAGCATCGCCGACACATCCTTCTCCCTCCAAATCTGTAAGTCTCGGCCTTCTCCTGGGGGCCAGGCCGTCAGGCGTGGGAGGGAGGGCAGAGTCTGGATATAGCTGAAGCTAAGGCTGGGCACTCCTGACATCTTGGGTGTATTTTATCATAAATCACAAACTAAGAAAAATGTAGCAAGAGCACAATTGCTGTTGTTGTTCGGTTGCTAAGTTGTGTTTGACTCTTTGTGACCCCATAAGCCTGCTGTAGCACACCAGGCTTCCCTGTCCTTCACTATCTCCTGGAGCTTGCTCAGACTTGTCTATTGTGTTGGTGATTCCATCCAACCATCTCATCCTCTGTCGTCCCCTTCTCCTTCTGCCTTCAGTCTTTCTGAGCATCAGGGTCTTTTCCAGTGAGTCGGCTCTTTGCCTCAGGTAGCCAGGGTATTGGAACTCCAGCTTCAGCATCAGTCCTTCCAATGAATATTCAGGGTTTATTTCCTTTAGGATTGCCTGGTTAGATCTCCTTGCAGTTCAAGAAACTCTCATAAGAGCACAATAGGCAAATGGAAATCAAATGAACAGTAGCTTCTGGAACATGGCCAGGAAAACTTTTTTGCTCTTTTAGCTTCTTTTTAAAAATAAGTTATTAAAAGCTTTATTTGAATGTGTCATGATTGGGACACCAAAGTAAAAAGTCATAGGCAAAGCAAAAAATATATATATATTGTTTTTTTATAGAAATTTTGTTCTAGCTTTTTAAGATTTAGAGTCTGACATCATCTGACTTGGGAAGCAGTCTTGGCAAGGTGAGCCTTTCAGAGCAGAGTGGGTTGGTGAAACAGGTGTCTTTGCATCCTTCAGAGGATCAGGACTAGTGGATGTGAATGGAGGGGCTGGCTTAATGGCAGCAGTTAAACACTCTGCATTTTAACACCGTGGGCCTGAAGTGTGGGGACCACCACCACCACCTCTAGTTCATGTGGGGACCACAGACACGCACTAGCATTGCCGTGCCCAGCAAGGGCGTACAAGCCGTATCGCTGAAGCCTTTGCATATGGATGTAGCCAGTCTGTTCGGTGTGGTGTTAGTTTCCAGCAGCTGCTGTGACAAAGGAGCACAGACTGGGGTGCTTGAAACAACAGGAAGCCATCATCTCACGTTCTGGAGGCTGGGAGCCTGAAATCAAGGTTTCGGCAGGACCGTGTGCCCACCGAAGTCTCAGGGGGCAGCGGGGGGGTGGGGAACCTTCCTTGTCTGCCCAGCTTCCAGGAGCCCCAGGGTTTTCTTGGTTTGTGGCAGCTTTCTTCCAGTCTATGCTTGCATCTTCACATGCTATCTTTCCTCGAACTCTGTTTGTGTCCAGATTTTCCTCTTATAGGAACTTCACTCATATTGGATTAGGGTCCAGCCTGGTGGCTCAGACGGCAAAGAACCTGCCCGCATTGCAGGAGACGTGGGTTCGGTCCCTGGGTTGGAAAGTCCCCCAGAGACAGGAATGCCAACTCACTGCAGTATTCTTGCCTGGAGAATCCCATGAACAGAAGAGCCTGGTGGGCTACAGTCCATGGGGTCAGACACAACTGAACAACTAATACTTCCTCAGTATGACTGCTTTATATATAGATAGATGTATCCTTGGCCACGCCAGGTCTTAGTTGTGGGATGTGGGATCTAGTTCCCTGACCAGGGATTGAACCCAGGTCACCTGCGTTGGGAGTGCAGACTCTTAACCACTGAACCGCCAGGGAAGTCCCTGGATTTTTTTTATATTTATTTCTTTATTTTTGTCTGTGCTGGGTATTTGTTGCTGCACACAGGCTTTCTCTAGTTGCTGTGACAGGAGGCTGCTCTTCATTGTGGTGTGACGGCTTCTCATTGTGGTGACTTCTCTTGTGGAGTGCGGTCTCTAGAGCTCTGTCATTGCAGCGCACAGGCTTTAGTTGCCTCGAGGCATGTGGGATCTTCCTGGACCAGGGATTGAACCCGTGTCCTCTACGTCGGCAGGCAGGTTCTTAACCGATGGACCACCAGAGAAGCCCCACTTTTTAAAAAATATTTATGTATTTGGCTGCCCCAAGTCTTTGTTGTGGCATATAAAACCTAGTTTCCTGAGCAGGAGTTGAACCCAGCCCCCCGACATTAGGAGCACAGAGTCTTAGCCACTGGACCACCAGGGAAATCCCAGGACGACCTCTTCATAACTTAATTACCTCTGAAAAGACCCGATTTCCAAACAAGGGGGCATTTCATGGGTATCGTTGGTCAGGACCTCACAAAGCTTTTGGGGGGACACCATCTAATCATAACAGTTGCTGCCTTTGGGAATAAAGAAGATGTATTAGTCCGGCAGAGAACCTACCATGAGTCTTCTCCTTGTTTGTCCGATGATTACTTTATTAGATGTAAGCTTAGCAGAGTATTGTTTTAAGTGCTGAGGGATAAAATGTAAGGTATTGTCTCTGCCTTCTAGGGCTTACAGTCTTACTGGGAACAGAATAACACTCAGATAAAGCAGTTAAATCAAAGCGGAAAGTAGGTTGGGTGGGGATCAGGTGGGAAACAAATAGTCAACACTGCAGGGGGTGGGAAGGGGAAAATACTGATGAGGGTAAGGAAGGAAGACTTGGGTGACTGTAGGGTTCAAATCAGCAGGAGAGGTGGAGATAGGGCCTTCTGGAAGGAGTGTGACTGTAGCTTGGGGTAGGAGCTGGCAGGGAAACTGGGGGTGCTGTCTGGGGGGTGCTGGTGATCTGGTGGAGCTTGGAGGCGGGAAAACCAGGAGACCCCTTAGCTCTCCGGGTCCAGGAGGAAGGTCATCTGTGAACTTGGGTGTGAATGAGAAGAGATCTTGAGGTTTGTCCCAGGCATTTAGCGAAGAGACTTGGTCATAGAGATTCGAGAACAAATGTGTCCAAAGAAAGGGATCATGAGGTAACTGAAGGTTATCAAAAGCAGGGAGCTGCTACTCCCCTTGGGCTGGAGGGATGGGAGGGGACCCCATCCGGTGGGAGGTGGGACCAGCATGTCTGCCTGGCAGGAAGGAGCTGGGGCCGCAGAGGAGGAGCAGCCCCTGGCCTGAGCTGCCGTTGAAGGCAGAGGGATAGGAAGCCTGGCATCTCCGTGGCTTCCTGCCCTCCATGTGTGCCCAGCCTGCCGAGAGGCTGGTGGGCCCGGAGACCTGACGGGGAGCCAGGAGGGGGCCAGAAAAGGGAGCCAAGAGTGACCGCCAGAGAGGCCGGGACGGAGGAAGTCTGTTCAAAGCATCGGCTTCTTCTCCCAGACCCGGGATGACTGACAGGACAGCCCCGTGGGAGAAGAGACGCTGGTTTGAAGCAGAGGTGGTTGTTTGGGCTTTAGATCATTTGAAGTGATGGTGCAGGCTCAGACACAGGGTTTTTCCACGATTTCAGAAGTTCTGTGCGCAGAACGAGCCCACAGCCTTTCCCAGCTTAAATGAGAGAGAATTCAGAGGACGTTCTAAGTCTGTTTTTAGTACCCCTTCCCTGACCCCTGATTGTGAGTAGACAGTGATATATATTTTTTTTAACCTTTTTTATTTTTTAAACTATGGTAATATGATAACACATTTACAGGAAACTTGGTAAATACACAACAAAGTTACATATAGTTTCACAATATATTACAGTTGTTAAGTAGATAAAGATGCTTAGTTGCAGTTTCAATATCCAACTCTCAGAAATTAATAGAATGAATGTACAAAGAAGTAGCAGTGCTTCCAAGGTGACTCAGATGGCAAAGAATCTGTCTGCAATGCAAGAGACCTGGGTTCAATGCCTGGGTTGGGTAGATCCCCTGGAGAAAGGAATGGCTACCCACCCCAGTATTCTTGCCTGGTAAATCCCATTGACAGAGGAGCCTAGTGAAAGTCACTCAGTCATATCCGACTCTTTTAGACTCCATGGACTGTATAGTCCATGGAATTCTCCAGGCCAGAATCCTGGAGTGGGTAGCCTTTCCCTTCTCCAGGAGATCTTCCCAACCCAGGAATCAAACTGGGGTCTCAGCATTGCCCACGGATTCTTTACAAGCTGAGCCACAAGGGAAACCCAAGAACACTGGAGTGGGTAGCCTATCCCTTCTCCAGCAGATCTTCCTGACCCAGGAATTGAACCAGGGTCTCCTGCATTGCAGGCAGATTCTTTACCAACTGAGCTACGAGGGAAGCCCCATATGTATATTTTACCACATTAAAAAAAAAATGATCCGGTCAACAGTACAATGTTTATACAGTTTGAGCTTCAGAAATTCAGGGTGATCACCCGAGATTTCCCACTTGTGTTTTGAAATGATATGTTTCAAATTGGAAGATAACGTTCCACTGGCTATGAACATTAAACAGGAGCCTTAATCATGTTTAAGTTTTATCACCCAAGGCCTCCAGGGGCTCCTTCAAGCATACTGGTCACAGCCCCTGCAGCTGTGTTTGGGCCTGGTCTCCGCTTTCAGCAGCCCTTGGCAGGAGGGCTGGTGATGGATTCGGGTTCATCTAAATGTTTCTTTATAATGGGATTATGTTGAATGTCCTCTTGTGCTAAATTCCTTAGAAACTTGGCTGATTTCACGCATTTGGTTACCGGCAGAATCTTCATAGAGGAATGTGAGTTGCTTAAAGGCTTCTATCAGCCTGAAAGTATTTAGATATAATTTATCTCTGCCTTTTGGGATACAAAGACGCTTACTGTAAACATCGACCATGAAGATCACTTTTATAAACTTTGTTCCCGTGAATTTTATTCTAAAATTAGAAAGGGGATGAGGGTAATGAATTCGTCTTTGTAGAAGTACTCATTTTATCATTTATTTACTCAGCAACTGTTTATTAAGCAACTGTTGGGTGCCAGAAACTGGGCTCGGGAAGGCTGATGGGTTGACAAGTGTGAGTGGCTCTCATGAGGCAGGGATGGTGTTCTCTTCATCTGTTAGCAGCACTTTATGCTTGGGAGGGGTCTGATAAATAGCTCAGAACTAACTGAACAAAGGGTTTCTCTGGTGGCTCAGCTGGTAAAGAATCTGCCTGCAGTACTGGA